GACTTTGACCTGTATCATTTTCCCTAAGTGTCATGAATGCGTTACGCAAAAACAACATAGACATTTTAACACATCAAAGAAAATATTTTTGCATCAATAAACAAGAAATATAGCATTAAGATATAATAATGATATTAATTATATAGGGGATAAATACTTACTTTTTTGTGTAAGATGAAATAAAATTACATGTTATACAACAAACAAACTAACTTCAATTTTATGCTGATATACGAGTACAAGTTAAAATGAAATTTCCTAAAGATTAACTTGAATATTAAAACCTTATACCCCATTGGTGTCCAATATTTCAGACGAATTTACCATAAATACTTAAAGTTAAGAGCTAAAATACAATGTCAAACATCAATTTCAAGTGGCAATTATATTATTTATTTAACAATAACAACAACAAAACAATGTCAAAATAATTCAAACTGAAGACTGTCTTATGGATGCTAGGCTATTTACTTATCTTTTAACTGATGGCTGCCATTGCCCATTCCATTGCTTTTACACATTGCATTACAGTTAATGCTCGTAGGATACTTAAATATGACAAATGTCATCAAGAGCAGCTTTTCATGTGGTAGGAAGGGTTATGAATTATCAGACTGTTACGAATGAAATAAAAAATTAGGAACGATATTTGGTGATCGGGTAATTGAATAAATTAAAATTCTTTTTGACTTGTCATTATTACACTTGTTTGAATTAAAATGAATCGCATAATTATTTAAATGATTGGTACCGGAGCTTTTTTTAAAGAAATAAGTAAATATGATGACTGCAATTTCAGCGAAAATGAGGATTACATGTGAATTTTTAATTGCTTGGATATAAACATGTTTTAACAAATATAAACTTTGCAGGGGAACAATGATATATAATGCCAACATGGGCAACGTTTGTCAACATATGACATAGACGAAATAATACGTGCAATAAATAAAAGAATTAATTAACGAAATTAAATTAAGTTTTCCATGACTGTCTCCATTAAAAAAAAAACGATTTAAATGACAGTGATAATAGATTTTGTGTTCAAAATATGTAAGATTTAAACCTTGTCAGGACATATAAGAACCTTTATGGCCAGCAAGTGGTCCAATAAAACGAGGTTCTAGAATTTGCGAAGCTTGTTAAACATAATAAATAAAAACAAACAAATGAGTAAGTTGTAATTGGGCTTTTATTAAAGCCGGTATATAAATTATACAGTGCACCTTTAGATTTTGTTATGACTAGAAATAGTACACAATAAAATGTTGGGCTTTTATTAAAGCCGGTATATAAATTATACAGTGCACCTTTAGATTTTGTTATGACTAGAAATAGTACACAATAAAATGTTATTATGTTTTATCTGGGCATAGAAATACGCCTTGCATAAGACTAGAATCACAAAACATACATTAACAATAAATATTTGATTATGTCACAAGTAAAATATTTGATTATGCCAAAATTAACATGAAGAATAAAATTTAGACATTGAAAATAATCTACACTAGTTATTGGGTGGAGGAAATGGGAGGAGGAGGTAAAAGCAATGCTACGATGAAAATCGTGAAATTAAAGCTGACAAAAGTATATGAATTCTTTTGTTTACAACAGTGACGCTAATAAGAGCGCATGCGCAGGGAAAGCACGCGGAGGCAAATCACGCTGCGCAACTGATAAAGATGAATACGGACAACGGCTGTTGTACATCACTAACTTAAAAAAGAGACCATTTCGTCCATAAAATATTTTACTGCATAAAATTCATTTATGGCCAGCAAGTGGTCCAATAAAACGAGGTTCTAGAATTTGCGAAGCTTGTTAAACATAATAAATAAAAACAAACAAATGAGTAAGTTGTAATTGGGCTTTTATTAAAGCCGGTATATAAATTATACAGTGCACCTTTAGATTTTGTTATGACTAGAAATAGTACACAATAAAATGTTATTATGTTTTATCTGGGCATAAAAATACGCCATAGGATAAAGATCTGAGAATTCAGAACTTTATACCCGCCCAGACGACTTGTTGAAAACTCTGGTAATGTTTTGGTTTGACTGGGGCTGTGTGGGCTGCTGACTGGAGCTTGACTCTTGCTTTTGTCCAATGGGACAAGATTTAGCGGAGTGCTGGCCTCGACAGTAACCGCATGTGTGGGGGAAGCAATTGACCAATGGACAGAAACCTCGTCTATTAAATGACCAGCATGTGTTTGGAAGGAATTCCCCGGATGAGTTTGACTTGTTTTTACGAAAGGAACGGGGTGCATTATTGTACGAGCCGCCACCGCGGCGGTACTGGCGAAAGGGATGACCTGTTGACGAGGGCACAGTTGTCGCTCGGACCCAGTATTCCGTGTGTAACTGGTCCCATGGGATTTGAACTTGTTCCCGAAGGGTTCTGAATTGGAAGTCGTAACGGGCCCAGGCATTTGTACTATGTTTAGACGCCAGGTCCCTTACCAGTTCACCATATTTCATAAGGGCTGGTGTTTCTAAAGGGTATTTTGTGGCATATATTGCCACAAAACGCATAAATGCGGTGGTCCACTGCTCAATGTTGTGGATTTTTTGTTTTTTTATAGATGGGACAAGATGGAAATTACCATTTGTTTGGTTAACTGAGAACTGGTATGGCATTTCTTCTTGGTCATGACCAAAAGTGATAGGCAGTAAGGCCCCAAAATCCACAAATTTATGTCTCCAAATTTTCTTTTGGAGCTTATAGGGAACTTGAGTAGAAATAGGGGATTCAAGAGGGGAAAACGACTGTCTTTTATCACCTTTAAGTTTTTTAGCCTGTTTAGCTAAAACTCCATCCAAGAGACTATCATCGCTGTCTGATGAAGAAGAGTCTGTTATTTCATCTTCCCCGCTGGATGTGTCAGTGTTCACACTGTGCCTGTGCCTGGTTGGAGAAAGGGACCTCTTTTTACGAGAAGAGTTTGTCTTCGTCTGTGATTTTGTTCTCCTACGCCCCCGGTCTTCCTTTTCTGTCAAGTTAACATTATTTACTGTGACATCGTTCAGGTTGGAATCATCAGAATCATCTGATGGGGATGCCGTTATTTCTGGTTGAACTTCAGGAACAGAAGGATTGTTATTAATTATACCCTGGCGCTTTGTTCTGTTAATGTGGTGTACATCGTTTGGGCTGCTCCCTCCAGCCACCGGTGCTTCCACGCAACACGAAGCTGTACATTTCGCCTTTGTTGACGAAGCAGCTTTCCTCTTTCCCGGCATATCTGGAAATATAGCAAAATAAATAGGAAATAAAACCTCGGATACTTGTCCGGAACCTCAGGACATAGCCTGGAATTAATAAATTTACAAATAGTTCTATAGCAGGTGTTTTGGACTGTAAAATATGTTTGTGCACTTGACTAGGAACTCCCGTACTAGACTGGTTAATAAGTATAAACAGTCAATTTAAAAATTATAACTCGGATACTAGTCCGAAAATTCGGGTGCCTGCCATGAAATTTAAAAAATAAAACATAAATCTATACAAGTCCAAAATATTCAGGCCCAAGCCTGGAAAATTAAAATAAATCTCGGATACCAGTCCGGAAACTCAGGTGCAAGCCTGGATATTTAAAAAATAAATCTCGGATACTAGTCCGGAAACTCAGGTGCAAGCCTGGATATTAAAAAATAAATCTCGGATACCAGTCCGGAAACTCAGGTGCAAGCCTGGATATTTAAAAATAAATCTCGGATACTAGTCCGGAAACTCAGGTGCAAGCCTGGATATTTAAAATAAATCTCGGATACCAGTCCGGAAACTCAGGTGCAAGCCTGGATATTTAAAAATAAATCTCGGATACCAGTCCGGAAACTCAGGTGCAAGCCTGGATATTTAAAAATAAATCTCGGATACTAGTCCGGAAACTCAGGTTCAAGCCTGGAAATTATAAATAAAATCTGCTCACCACAACTTTGATTAGAACTAACCAAGAGGTTATATATGTAAGTTTCACAATATTTATTATAACAAACTAGAGGAATATTGGGTTGGAAATCATCCTAAATGAAGCCTCAGGCAGTCAACAGTCCCCAATATATACATGAAATGTTACAACTCGACCATAATCATATATGGATTCCGTACAGTATACATGCATAGGTGCAATCAAAAATTTGAAAAAACCTGAAAACTTCAATTCGTTATCATTTTCCTACATAATCTAAAAGTAGAACATGATGAAATATGTCACAAAAACCTGAGCTTCAGTCATATGCCTGAAACTTGCACCCATGTATTTTACATGTATATAATTTAACAATAAAAACCACTATATAGTATAGGATCCTTGTTAATGATGTTTTGGTGATCACAAAGCTCGGAGTCCAGCCGAGAAAAGTTTGAAACGCAACAGCATTACTGTAGATGCAACGACAAGCAAAAACGAAAATACTTAACTGCTTATGAGCGTCAACGTATGAAATAATCTCAGCTGCAGCAATCAATCAATTTCCCCACCCACGTGGTCACTATTCAGCCGAACAAAGAAAATTATTTGTGATCCCAAAATCGACGAAATCCGGAAATACTGTCACACTTTTATCAAGTAAAATGTCAGAAAACACAAATCTTTGCAATATGATTAAATTTGTTTTAGATATAAAAGCAATGCTACGATGAAAATCGTGAAATTAAAGCTGACAAAAGTATATGAATTCTTTTGTTTACAACAGTGACGCTAATAAGAGCGCATGCGCAGGGAAAGCACGCGGAGGCAAATCACGCTGCGCAACTGATAAAGATGAATACGGACAACGGCTGTTGTACATCACTAACTTAAAAAAGAGACCATTTCGTCCATAAAATATTTTACTGCATAAAATTCATTTGTGTGATTTTACTTAGAAATTAGATCTAGCCTCAAAATAATTTTCGGACACTCATGGTAACTCTATTATATATAGTACATTAATTATGTATGAAATATATATTTAATTTGAAAACTAATTAAAATACATAATTAAGGAATATGTGATTTTAGCGAGTATTTTCCAAAATATGTAGATTTTTTTTCTAGTCAAAGCCATATAAGTATATATATATTTTCTGTAAAAACATGTATGTTCATTAGAAATTATAGCTGTTTCTACACTTTGTTCATCGATATCACCAGTCATTATATATAATTTTAAGTATTGGCGTATAAATTTTCTTCATCGGCTCCAAATCCTGTATTCACGTAAATAGCTGAAAATAGAAAATAGTACACTTAGTTTAATACGCCATCATGTTGAAAGAAAATTAAATTCTGGATGAACTATTTACATCGTGTTACAAAAAACCTATGTTAAACCTTTACAGTACTGGCGGCAACTGAATCGATCTGTGTGCCCAGTCCAGACCAAGATCAGCCGTAACATCCGCGCCCTCCTATCATGGTCTCTACTTTCAGATAGTAAATAAGATTTTTTCAAAAGTTAAAACGTCGTATCCCAATGATAAACCAAGCAATGAATTACATTTTTATTGTGAGCATAGATTTATTGCAAAATTTATCGTTCAGATGATTGATGATAAATTACTTTCGTGATTGTATTAACCGGTACTCAACAACAAAAAGCAAGCTCGAATGCTCACGAGGTTTGAAATCCATAATTATCCTAAATAGCAGTGATATAAATGCCTTTAAACTAAAACTTATTAACGTCATTACCTTCATCATCATCGTCTTCTTGTTCTTCTTCTTCTTGTTGAGTTGTGATAAACGACTTAATACATTCGTGAATATAAATGTACTGGTCCTTAAAATATAGTATAATAATTACTTTTTTCAGCTTGTTGACAAGGATATGATATCATAAAATAAATATAGTATTGGAAATCATAATTACTGCAATAAAAGCCTGTAAGATTGGTTCATCATTACACACATTACCCAAACAGTTCTAATGGAAATGATGTCTTATGTCGTAATAAAACACACCTTTTTTAAGCAATATTGTAAAACAAAAAATGTGCTATAATACGTTATGACCTATAAGTAGTATATCTATTCAATTTCAATGTTTGTTTTTTTTTGTTTGTTTTTTTTTTAGTTTTTTTTTGCAGAGAAGCATTTCCTTTCATTTTCTGTAAGATTCGGCGTACCCGCAGGTACTGTCATGATATTGCAACGACATTCGAACCCACAAATGGTATAGTGACTGTTATAAGTTATAGTACCTCTGTCTGTACCATGTTCAATCGATTGTTTCTCATTTCAAGGACAAGATTAAATATATCCACCTCGTCGTGATCTTTGATATGCTGTAACAAGTAATCCACGGCTATAAATGTCCCAGTACGACCTACACCAGCACTGTAACAAAATATTACGGCTTATATTTTAGTAGGACTGAACATAAGTGAGATAGAATGAATAGATCGGGAAATCATGGTGGATGCGACCAAGCCAAGCGGAAAATCGAAAATTAACAGACTGAGTTTAAAATGGCGGGGGCGCGGAGCAAAAACACGCTTATTAGCGAATGCGCGGTGGAAAATTGAATAAATAAAACTCGGGCCCCACGGGACGCGGAGCGGAATTTAAAAAATAAAATGGCGGGGTCGCGGGACAAAAATACGCATATTCGAGGGGGGCGTAAGGCGAAGATTAATAAATAAAACTTCGCCGCGCGCTTCCGCCACGTGAAAAGTCGAGAATTAACAAGTTAAAATAACGGGGGCGCGGAGCGAAAACACTGTTATTAGCGAAGGCGCGGGACGAAATTTAATAAATAAAATTGCGAGGTCGCTGGACGAAAACATGCTAAAAGCGGGCTCACGGGGAGTGTTTTCGTCCAGCGACCCTGCCAAGCAAAAAGTCTAAAATCACAAGTTAAAATGGCTAATAAGCGTGTTTTCGATCGCGCCCCGCCGTTCTATTTCGTAAATTAATAAAGTTTAATTTATTAAACTTCGCCCCGCGCTCCCGCTAATTAACGTGTTTTTGCTCAGCGCCCCCACCAAATTTTCCGCTATAACAATAGTATTACAATCGTTAATACGTCTATTATTTGTAGGACTGCAAGTCATTTGGTGTTGGTTTATATACTATTCGAGCTATGTACTTGTTTTTTAATTTTAAAGACAACGAATTCCAAACACCATTAACGCCATAAATCATACACACTCCACGATATATTGAAAATAATACCGGTATCAAGAATTTAAATATTATGATTATCACAATTGTAGGGATGTAACTCTACAAGATTAGACCATAAAAGCAATTCTGACTACATAAAGTAAGCACATGCCATACCAAATAGGTGGTAATTATTGTGAATAATCAATAAAATTTTCTTACCCTCGAATTTTGGGCTATGTATTTAACATGAAAACAGTAATCATTTTCATACATAAATTCAACATTATACTCAGGAGAAATATTTTTTTGTTGTCGTCATCATAATTCAAAGTTGACAGAAAAACAGTCTGATCAGCCCAAAATTAACGCTACGCATATATGCAAGAAATAACTTAAATAGATCTATGTCGCGCCAGCATAGTAGATGTAATATGGCCCCAAATCAGCCCCAAATTAACACTACGCATACATGCAAGAAATAACTTAAGTAGATCTTTGTCGAGCCAACATAGTAGATGTCTTATGGCCCTGTTTCTGGTGGAAGATGACCTCAGGAGCCCCTCCGGGCATTGTTTCAGACAGGAACGTGTACCCGAGTAGAACATGATCATAACTTTAAATAAAAGTAACAGTGTGCCGACATGGCCGAGTGGTTAACGTGTCGGACTAGTAATCTTTTGATCGCTAGTCGCATGGGTTCAAACCCCGTCAGGGGCAAGTCGTTGTTTCCTTGAGCAAGAAACTTTACACTCATTGCTCAGTACTTGTTGGTTCCAGGAACGGATTCGAAAGTGTGTCTATAAGCTTACAGCTTCCTCCACAATCGAACTAAAATAAATTCTGTATAAACCAAAGTAACAGAAGCCATTATGCTTTATGCTAGATAATTAAACAGAATCATTTCGTATCATTTCTCTTTTCTACTTAACGAGTTACCTGCAATGGACAATCATTGGCCCATTCGATGATTCCTGTCCCCGATTGCCATACTGTTTTACAGCTTTTACGAACTCTAACAATAATTCAGGTGTTTCTGGACAACCCATATCTGGCCACTTCAAGTAACTAAAGTGACGAACCATTTTCCGTTGTGTTTTCTTTTTGCAAAATGAGATAGAAAGAAAATTAACATGCATAAGTGTATAGATATAGATGTATTTAATATGTCAAATAAATTGGCAAGTTGCTATTTTCAAATTAAATACAAGCACACATAGTAACTGGATGCATCGTTATATGTTCCAAGTTATGCCCAGTTGATCAGTCAAACAATGGTTGACTACACGTGCGCTACTCTTCCGTCTGATACATAATGACTTAAGAACTATTTATAACAATATCCATGCACCGGAAGTCCGGAACTACTTTACAACATGTAGTTTATCTTCAATTTACTTTTTTAATTTGGGTCTTTATTACCAGTGATAAAAAGTTTATAAAGTTTATGACTAGCCATCCGGGCAACCGAAATCCGGACATTGACAAAAAAATGATTTTTTTTTCTTCCTTCTTTATTCATTTAATAAAAAACAGTAAATACAAATACAATATTTTCATTGTATTTCTTTTATAATTGAGTCAAATAAAATAAAAGCAGCTGAATAAGTTATTTTGCCTATAGTTTCCAGTACAGAAAAAGGATGTACATCAAATATAATGGTTACTGTTTTGAATTTATTTAACGTATGCAATAAAAACATTTAAATTATCAAATCATTTTCGCATTTTGGATAGAAAAGTACACTCTTTTATTTTACCTCAGATTTGCATATATCTTAGTGAAAGCGAGTATACCCTTTTATTTTACAACGCAAATGTTTCCTTTTTTCCATTGTTTTAATACAAACGATATTCAAACTTACCGTTTTTACTTCAAATATCTTAATAATATAGTCAGACATGTTGGATTCTGACTGAAGGGAAACAACCAAATCTCCGTAGAAAACTGGTTCTCCCATGTCCGGCCAATATTTATCACACTTACGCTGAAATCATTGTAACATATATCATCGTCACGAAACACTAATTTACATGTATATGTTTTCAATGTTTAATATATAAGTGCCATACAGAGCTTATTATGCGATAAGAATGCTCAGATTTTGATACCATCACGAGCACAAATTATTGCCACTAATGATCTGATTGAAATCGTTCGTTGTCTTAAGGACATAATATAAACCAGTGTATTTAGTATAAAAACATACAAGATAATAAAAAGAAAAGGGTAGTTATTTTTATCAAATATCAAATACATTTTTTATGACAGATTGATGAGAGAAATTTTGAAATTTTGTTGACTTTTTGTTTCCGACCATCAAATGCTTTTTGTGAATGCATATTTATTCCAAATACTTTAGAAATATGATGCTGTTTTATGATATGACAAAATGTGAACATATAACAAAAAATGTCCATGATTAAATTATTTCCCTTATAGAACATATAGAAACCCACAAAAAGAAGATAAATGTCATTTGCTTAAATCAAACATATAATTTTTCTAAATAGAATTCTAACACTATCGGAATTTTTTCTATATAGAAAAAGAAGGCCGGAAGCGTGCATTATTCTACAACAATGCACTCGCCGTTCTTATTATCTCCCTGTGTATTTTCACATTGAAGGCGCCATTTTGTTTAAAAAATCTGATAAATTAAAAAAAAATTTCGAATTTTGTTGTGAAAACTATCTAGAATGAAAGAAAATGGTCTAACTAAGAAAATTAATCCGAACACCAATATCTTTAATTCAGTCGTTAACGCTGTACAGACGTTTAAAGTGTTGTTTACGTGACGTCACAATGTAGCGCCAAACAGCACGTGCAAAACAATCAAATCAAGTTCGCTATTTAATGTCGCAAACGAGTTTAGTTTTACATTTATTTCACTTTTAATAATTTGTATTTCGCTTGGAAAATTATAAACTGAAATAAATAAACAAACAAAGTTGTATCAACGTTTTCAAAATTCGTTATTTTCAAAATGTTTCTACAAACGGTAGATTTAACAGTTTTTTTTTCAACCCACTGGAACGGCCTCTAAAGAACGTTTCTATTGAAAACTCTGAGGCGAAAACAAATTCAACCACCAAACATAAAGTCCAACGTTATAATAAAAAATATATTTTTTCTTGACGTATTAGAATGGAAATAGATATCAATTCTTCGTGCATTATTGTATAATAATGCACGTTTTTCGTTCAAATGCTTTGTAATTAATCACTCAGGCCTATCGGCCTTCGTGATTATATTACTACGCATTTGAACTCAAACCGTGCATTATTCTACAACAATGCACTCAGAATTGATATCTATTTCCTAAATCTACATTAATCATGCTTACACCAAACACATTTTCTTATTATAAATGCATTTATCATTCTAAAATCAAAACATTCTTATTATTGTAAATGCAGTTAACAATCCTAAATCAAACACACTTTTACCACTTATAATCATTATTCTTTAAGTAAAATATATTTTATTCATAACAATACAGTAAATTGTGTTAATTGCAAATAAACACACCCGTCCTTTTTCCATTAGTTTTGTCAACATGACGATAGTATCAACATTTTGCTCCCACACCATTCTCCAGAAGTCATCAAAAGTAGCTTGCATAGGGCCCTGGGTAGCAATATATTCTCTACGAGATTTATAACCCTTTTGATAAAACATAAAAAATATGGATTTAATCTTATCAATTAAATTGTGTAAATTCAAATATATATGTCGTAAAAATTAGCATGACAAATTTTACAAATAAGTGACCTCATCTAAGTTCCACAAGTTATAAATGTGGACTTGCCATTAAATAAAAAAACATCTAGTTTCAACATTTACATGCTATTTAAAATTCACACACAATACAACATTCTAAACGGTTATAAGTAGCCTATGAATCAAAACTTTTGACATTGAGTTAATTACATACAGGAATATAGTTGGCATTGATGTAGTCCGACCCTTCCATATCATCAGACGGTCGCAGTTTAACTCGAGAATGATCAACTGAAATATCAATATACCCACGTTACACCAAGACTAACATTATTAAGCAATCAGCAGAAAATATCAAAAACACTGTCATATTCATATAATCATATATAAACTTTACAGTTATACATTTTAGTTCGATGTATTAAAAATCATTTAGCAGAAACTGACATTTTGATCTTTATTTTTAGAATTTTAATGTTTCAATTGTTTTCCATTTGCCTTGTACAACACTGTCCTTTATAGCTTTCAAATATACGGTTTTAATTTATTCACAGAACGTACTTCAAATATAATAGACAAAGAAGTACACGTATAAATTGATTTATGTATGTAATTTAAACACAAACATGGTAGAATATTTGTATATCTGTTTTTCGGTCGACAACATTGTTGTTCAGCTGCCGTCATTGGATGACTGGGACTCTTCTCCTTCAATACCTACAAAATGGTTTTCTAACATTATTAATGACTTGAATTTGAAAATAATGAAGGCTACATATAGATAAAATTCTTATTCTTTGTTACTATATGACCTTAGCACGTGCTCATTTCAGCTTTCAGAAGGCAGATTTTCTTCACAAATTTTGTAGTCATTACTTATGATTTGGTTCCAATCTGTTACCTTTCATGCATAACAATGATTATCAAAAAAAGTTCACATTCTCTTTTATCTTGGGTCTTTGTAATGTATATTTTAAAGAACAAAAGTAGTATAAGTAGCGCTCTAACATATATAGCTTTATCTACCTTATAAGCATCAGCAAAAAGCAAATCAGAATCTCTGTGGAATCTTTCAACAGCATCTGAAAAGTCAATCAGCTTAACGGGTCCTTGTCTGAAAAAAGATAAAACTCGTGACAGATATGCGATATAAGACATAGTACTGCAGATTATTCTTCTAAGAGAATAAACGCTAACATGTATGATAACAGAATTGAAAAAGATAGGAGAACTGATAAAGCTAATTTAAATATGCAATTTGGGGTTTACTTGAAGTGATCTAAAGAAATTACCAAAATAACAAAATAATTTAATTTCATAACCAATGAAAATGCAAATTTAGATGACTTATATACTGATAAAGAATTAGTTTTGTTTACAAAATTATGTAAAATGGAAATATGAATGAGTGTAAAGTGATACGTGTTTCATACATATGCAATTGTGCTGAGATGATAGAGATGTTTGGCAGCTGTACTGTAACTGTTGGGACAAAATACATCAAAGAATATAATGGCCGGAAGTAAACCAGGAAATGCTACAAAATAAACATTTTATCGTACATTCGCTACTCAAGACGCAAGGGAAAACACTTTTATACGAGAAAGTCACCATTTTGTCATATTTTTTCGTTTTCGCCTGGCCCACTTCGGCGCAAAAAATACAAAAGCACGAAAATACAACATTTTGTCAGCGAGGCACATGGCGAATACACAAAACATACGACAATCTCACCACTTTATCGTATCTTCGTGTCTTCGCCTGTCCTTTTTCGTGGTTTTACTTGGCGCCCCGTGGAGCGAAAGTATGACAACTGCATCTTTTTTATCGTGTTTTCCTTGGCTCCCCGCGGATCAAAAATACGACAAATTAATCCCACTTATTTGCCGCCCCGGGGAGCGAAAATAAGACATGTCACAAATCATAGTAGTGAAAGATGGTCATAAGATAAAAGTGTCTATCTCCTAGCTACTGGCCTGATTAAGGTTACGACAATAGTTATGTTTGCAGCAGCAGTATTGATTGTCAATGTTCTTGGTGTGAGTAGTAAGTTTTAAGCTTTTAAACTAGATGAGTCTTTAGACATTTATATTTATATCTTCAACGTTTTCGTTTTATTTAAAATTCTAAAACGACACTTTAAACTAAAGAAATTTACAAAAAACTACTGTGACACAAACAACACTAACACTCTTTACAATTTCAAATTAGTTTGTTATATCATAACATACTGTTATGTCAACATTATTTGAGTCCACATCTCATGTGCATTGAAATTAAAATTTCAACGAAATTTAAACAGAACTTAGAGCCTTATGAAATTTAAATTATAATTATTATTATTTCATTACTTTTTAAAAGAAAACTTCATTTTTAACTTAAGAATATCTTAGTAGGCTAAACATGGTTACCATGAAAACATATTTATTTAAGCAAATACTATAGGAGGCGCGAACGGTCGGGATGAAGGTGTATGTGGTGCAATAAATATAGAAGTGAATTTTATAAATTAATGATACTTATATATATGTATAGATTACATTATGTACTTACCCTGGGGTACTGAAAAAAAGTTAAATTGTGTGAGCCAGATATCATCCCAAAATATTTCTTATATACAACCTTAGACTGATATTTATTCTTTAATAGTTTCTTCGAATTGTTTCATTCATGAATGGTGTAACATTATAATTAGGCAGAGTTATCCAATTAAAAGGCTATAAAGACAACCATTTATACACGTCCTGCAGTTATGTTTATTATCATTGTTTACAAAAATGTCCATTCCATTTTTTTCATCTAAGCGTTTTAAAATCACGCTTCAAAAATCGTTTTTTATCAATTCTAAATAAAAATAATCTACGTTTTTGGAATCACGAGCACAAAAGTAGAATATTTGAACATTTTTCTATCACTAAAACACTAACAACATACTTGATATCTAGTATTAGAAAATAACGATAAATAAATGAAACGAATCTGATGTTATTAAATTTGGTTATAAACTTACTTGGAATAGCTTAATACCTGCATCTTAAAAAATGTTAGGAGTAGTTGCTTCACAAAATAATATTAAATGCGTTCAAACGTACGAGTATTGCAATGGTAGTGACGATAGAACTTAAATATATGTTTTACCTATTGCCATTAAAAGTGAGTTGTAGTTTAAATGAAACAATGAAAAATTTAAGCATGCCATTAATATATTTATCGCGTCAATTTTCCAGGTTTTATTGAAATTTATGAATATACATTTTATCAAGTTACCAAGATGTGTATCTTATTAATAAAAATAAAGTGTCGTAGAATTCCTAGTTTATTCGTTCAAATATTTATGTATCTGAAATACTTTAAAAAAATATTTCCTACCTGGAAGGGTTCTTTTTTGTGTGTTCAATTTTATCAAGATGAATTCCTTCATCTGGAGACTGTGTAACCAGTCTACCTTCATCTTTCGAGAAACAACTGAATAGGAACATTGAAAATATGTTTAACTGAAGTTTGTTCATAATTAACTAAGCTCTGTTGGAGTATTTTTACCATAGCAATCAAGTATGGCATTGTAGAAACTTATTTCGATACGTAATTGTTCAATGAATGGTTATATAGATAAGGTGTGTCGCAGTTTAATATCTAATCAAGAGCGCAACCGAGACATTTAAATAAACGCCAGAACAGAATAATATTTAAATCACAAGTTTTTCAAAATATAATAGATTGCAGTAACATTTTTTATATTTCATTTCAGTCGTAAAATGTGCGTTTTAAGCATCGCATCAGTGTTAAATATTTTATCTGATTACGACGAATATGCTGCTAGAAGTATATGGAAAATTGTCATAACAACTATGTCTCGAAACTTTTAATTTACTACAAGAATGAAATTTAAGCTCGGTGCTTTTGTCTTAGTTTATACTTGTCTAAGTAGAATATAACACAATTATTCCAAATGTAAATTATGGTACATTATTGCATTATGGTCAAAGCTATACACTTATAATATACTTACGCCAACTGTTTTCTTCTCAGAAAGAAAACCACAACACCAACAATGGCTAGGACAACTATTGCCGAGGATATACCAGATGCTATAGCAACTGTAAGATCTGGATCTAATAAAATAATATAAAGATACAATATTTTATACATGTATATAATTTATAATAAATAAGAAACCCCGGAAGAAAAAAATAGTCAAGCTTTATTCAAATCATTGTACAATAAATAAATTAATTTTATCTAACGCAAAGATGTCCCATTAAAACGATAAATGCATGGCACACTGCTGAAATGCTTTTTATCAGAAATCATTATTTATTTCATGAGGGAATCCTATTGAATAAAATCTACAATAAATAGGAAATAAAATTAAATTAGAAAGGACCATGTAGCACTGTATCTGCTGTTGAGTACCATATATATTATTCTTCAATATGTTCTTTAATAACTTTACACTTAGACCTTTTTCCCGGACCTTTATGCAAACATTCATGTTACAATAATAATAGTAATAATAATAATAATAACTTTGTTCCTTTGTTTGTTTCATTTTACGCCTTTTCCCAACAGTATTTCAGTCATGTAGGCGGGTAGTTTCCTAACCATCGATCCTGGATAGTTACACCAGTACTAGACTACCTTCCTCACGCTAAAATACCAAAGCATCTCCCGGGGATGGAACCCACGCCAGGGAGGTAACTGGATTAGAAGTCATGGACTAAAACCCCTCGACCACGGAGGCGGTTACTTATAATAATAATAATAACAACAAGAGGGCCATGATGGCCCTGAGTCGCTCACCAGAAACAACTACTTTTCAGTGTTGGAAATTATTTTTCAAAAGAAGTTGCTGAAAGGCAAGTCCAGCTCTTTCGGCAAGTTCAACTCAACTTTAACTTGCCCCTCTAGTAATATACTTTCACAACACTGATTGTTTTAGCTTTTTTCTTCATAATAAACAATAGGGCCACTAAGATGGCCCTAAATCACTCATTTAACCCATCATTTCATTATTCACAATATAAATTGAAATATTTTGCCCTAATATTTTGGAAAGGCTTTGTTAAAAATATGTATGTTGCAAGTGTGTTCCTATGAGACTATGTAGAATAAATACAGAATAAATGACCACTATAGCAGGATTAATTTTGACTGGACAATTTTTTTTATAACTTTTTTGAATGAAAACACAAAATCTCACATGCAAAACATATAAGGTGTAGATGTTTGAAGTTTACAGTTTACTGTTTGGGACAACAAATTATTTTTACATCTTGTATGGTAACATAACTGTACCTCAAAAAAGACAATAGGTCAAACATTGTAAGAAATATGAAAAGTAGGCCAGTTGATATCAAAATTCAATTCAGCATCAGAAATAACACCCCCAGTCCAAATTTTAAGTCTGTATGTCATAAAACACAGGAATGAAGGTCAAATTATATCAAAAATATCAAAAGTAGGTCAGTTGATATCAAAATTCATTACTGAATCAGAATTTACAAACCAGGTCCAAATATAAAATCTGAATGTCAAAATACAAGAAAGTAGGTCAATTGGTGTCAATAATACCTAAAGTATATCAGCTGGTATCAAAATTGAGTTCAACATAAAAAATTATACAAATTACACCCCTGGTCCAAATTTCAAGTCTGTACATAAAAGACAAATAAAGTAGATAAAGCGATATCAAATATATCAAAAGTAGGCCAGTTCATATCAAAATTCATATCAATAATCAGGATTAGAAATTAAACCCATTCAGTCAGTTGATATCTTAATTCGTTTTGCATCAGAAATTATATTCCTGGTCCAAATTTCAAGTCTCTATACATCATTCCAAAATTCAAGTCTCTGTACATCAAAAACAGGAAAGTATGTAGAATGGTTTCATAAATATCAAAAACAGTTCCACTGATACAAAAATTCAATTATGCACATGAAACTCAGGTCTGCCCCAAAATTTATTTAAATGTGCTTTTTCCAAGTTTAAATTTAACTAAAAAAATACAATTTTTAACAAAATTCAATAAAAAAAATGAGCATACAAACTCATCTTTGTTAAAAAGGTACTGGAGAAACAAATTTAATGTTTCTTAAGGTCTAATTATTTTTCCTGGTTAATTACCTACAACTGACCTTATGCAATATGATGTCCGAATTCTAGTGCTGTGAGATATTTACACATCATAAACAGGTCATGACTTTAAGACTTTCTCCAGCCATTGAACCTCTTTTGGAAAAATTGAATAACATATGTACACATTCCAACATGAGTTGTTTCCCTTTCATTATGAAAAGATCTTTGAGTCATAGAAATTTATTGAAATTTATGAAATTCTTACTGAAAATGTCTAATTTGGAAACTATGTATGGGAAGCTGCATATCCTATTATAGGCCAAGTAAAGTTGGTCTTTTCTATATAAAAAAAACAAACAGTTTTTTAATGACTTTATCATTATATTGATACTGTGTGAAGAGTTTAAAACATAACATATGAACTTTGCATGAAGTCAAAACACGATTATTTTATAATCCATTGTCAATATTTTCTAATATTAAATTTGAGCATAGAATATCTTTAAGAAATGCCATGACTCGGGGCATTTAAGCTTTAGCTTAAACAGGGTCAATTAAATCAATATGAGCAAACTTGATAAAAGACTACCTAAGAATGCTACGGATAAAAATTGGTGACCATCCTTCAAATATTAAAATAGGAGATGATGTTCAAAGGTTTTCCATATTTAACTTTAGTGGCCCCTTAAAAGGGGCAATCAAATTAATATGAACAAACTTGATAAAAAGACTACCTAAGAATGCTATAGACAAAATTTGGTGATCATCCATCTTTTAATTCTGTACAAAGGTATTTCTATTTTTAGCTTAAGCTGTCCCTAAAAGGGGCCAATCATATAAATAAGAGCAAACTTGATAAAAGACTACTGAAGAATGCTACAGACAAAGTTTGGTGATCATCCATCGATTAGTTCTATAGAAGGAGATGTTTAAAGGTATTTCTATTTTCAGCTTTAGCAGCCCCTTAAAGGGGCCAATTAAATTAATATGAGCAAACTTGATAAAAGACAACCTAAGAATGCTACAAACAAAATTTGGTGATCATCCATCAATTAGTTCTGTAGAAGAAGATGTCTAAAGGTTTTTCTATTTTTAGACATAGAGACCCCTAAAAAGGGCCAATCAAATTAGTATGAGCAAACTTGATAAAAGACTATCTAAGAATGCTACAGACAAAGTTTGGTGATTATCGACCAATTAGTTCTGTAGAAATAGACGTTTAAAGGTTTTTCTATTTTTAGCTCTAGCGGCCCCTAAAAGGGGCCAATAAAATTCATATGAGCAAACTTGATAAAACACTACCCAGGAATGCTTCAGACAAAGTTTGGTGATCATCCATCCATTAGGTTTGTAGAAGAAGATGTTTAAAGGTTTTTCTATTTTTAGCCATAGAGACCCCTAAAAGAGGCCAATCAAATTAATATGAGTAAACTTGATAACACACTACCCAAGAATGCTACAGACAAAGTTTGATGATCATCCATTAATTAGTTCTGTAGAAGAAGATGTTTAAAGGTTTTTCTATTTTTAGCTCTGCTGACCCCTTAAAGGGGCCTATTGGAATGACATGAGCAAATTCAAGTGTGACTGTCACAAGGATGCTACAGACCAAATTTGAAGTAAATCTGCTCAGTAGTTTCAGAGAAGAAGACGATTGTTGACGCATGACGACGGACGACGGAAGCCGGAGCATCCCCCTTTGATACTAATAGCTCACCCTATAATAATAAGAGCAGTTATATAACACTTACCTGTTGATATAGGATTTGAGTACTCCGTCTCAGTGCACCCATTTATTGTACAAGCAAACGTTTTCACCCTATAATGAATAATTTTAAATGTCAACTGTGAACATTCAATTTTACATGTTTCATCATTACAGTGCAGGGACGGGTATGTGTCAGCATATACTTCTATTGTCTTATCGCCAGAGCAAGTTTGGTTTTAAATTACAGATATTAAAATCAAGATGTAAAGGGAATTACAAAATCATTTATTTCATACTTTCAAAGACAAATATCAACAAACAATTTCTTTAAATCACTCTGCCGAATAATACAAATCACATGGTATCATGTACCTTATTCTGATACAAAGCCGACATAAAATTGATAGATTTGGAAATGATGAGTATGAGATTTACAATTTATTAAAAAGAATTAAAAAAATTCTTGGAGTCACTATTTAGAAAGATTTATTGCAATCACAGTTATATTTCTTGATACATCATATACATTTTACGATAGTACGTTCTAGGACAATAGTTTAAATGAAAAATGACAAACTGCAATAACTATTTAAGAAAGTAGAATAAAAAACACAAGAAACTAAATTGAGGTCCAAAAGTCTAGATCATAAACTTTAAGTTCTTACACATTCCAAATTAGGTACTTAAAAAGAAAGGTGAAAGATATGCAAAACAGTTATAATAAATTGTCTTAGAAATATATTGAAATCGTATTTCTGTGCTGTGTTTAGCTGATTTATGTAAAAAAAAGCGTGGCAACGATTTTCAATTTTGGGTCATTTTCACAAAATTCTGGGAAAATCAATTTTAAATCAAGAAAAATCTTTTAAATTTTGCAAGATATTATAAAAGTGAAAAAAGTTTAAAGTTTGAAAGCTTTCAATTTAATTCGGAAAAAGGAGCAAAAAGAGAGGACAATTTCCTTGATAATGGCAGCTTTACTCACAGGTGAATGTATTTTGATGTTGAGTCAATTCACATTTGTCAATTGAGAAATTAAAAGTTACTCAAAATTCTTAAATGGCATACAATTACTATTTTGCAAGTCTTTCCGATATTAAGTACAAATACCTGTATCTACGCCCTGGTTGTAATTCACCATTACAAAACCGGTCAGTTTGTTTGCCTGAACACTTGCCATCCAGTCCTACAACAAATCTTTGATACGTTTCGACATCACGCTGCGTTACACTTCGCCTTTTCCGGGTACCTACAATTATTTGTTGACTTTAACTAAACCTTTCATAAAACGTAACGTTTATATAAAATACAAAACGTATTTTTTTTATTTGGAAATCCATACTTAAACTAAATGGTAAAATATAATCATTATTATAGCCAGTTAGAGCCATATTGTCTAACTATGAAACAATATGAAACAGCAATGGTAAGATAGTAGTATACACAATCTAGTACATACAAAATATTATAATGATATTGCAATTGTTAAGGCTACTAAAATCTTATAGGCATATGCTCGAACCAAATAGTGCGCATGAATGCCGTTGCTCATGAGGACTTTGATTAACGCGGCAAGATATCATTGAATTATTAGTCCATATACAACTCGTCAATGTCGCCACCAGTATTCACTCATTAGAATCTTTTTCCTGTAAGATAATTGATATCACAGTAAGAAAATAATTGAACATATTTCATAACAACTTAAAAACACATACCACCATTAATATGTTGACAAGAGTCCGTAAGATTAAGATATGTTGCCAAGTAAGGTTTAATAGAATCCATATCCTTTACTTCAAACCACGTTTTATAAACTTTTGATATTCTGTCTGTGAAATTCAGAACACTTCCAAAAAATGGCTCATCTAAAATGATTATATGAAAAGAAAAATATAAATAAAGTTAAATAATAACATAATTATTATACACACTATCACATTTTATTTTATTTACTGAACACAAATAAAGAAAACGACGCATATTCCGATAGAAAGTTCTATTTCAATGGCCAGTTCATTATGTACCAAACTTCATTTGTATTATCCCTTTTTATCCAGTATATCTTCTTTTAAAATTTATTGTTTAATGATAATTGCGATATAAAAAAATGTGCGAATTTTTCTAAATTCAAATTTAACCACGCTCATGTCAATGTTGAATGCTTCTTAAGCCGGTAATAGAAAAGTGGACGGCAGCTTTCCCTTACTACTTTCATGCATGAAAAGACTCAATCTAAACGAGCTTGCATTTTGTTTGCAGTTTATCGTTCTGGGCATTCTTTAAGGTTTGTTAATTTGTTTAATGTGGGTACACGTAAATAAACAATTTGCTTTAAAAATTGGTCTACTTGAATTGCACGAAAGTTTTTACAACATTTGTTTTTCTTTCTTTTCTTTCAAACTAAAGATTCTTCTCGCAAATAATTGTGTCTTTTACCTTTACTTTCCACTATTTATCAGCAGCAGATTTATGTGGTCAAAACACGAGCGTACACAAATCCATAATTCATCACATATTTATAGCCATAAAGAAACAAATATTGCTCTTAGCAAGTAAGATAGCTTCGTAACCAAGGCCTTATAATATGCATGCACTAGGCTACTTTGCGGTAATCGACGTTAACTTACCACGAAAGAAATGGAGAGCACTTTTTTATATACCTTCATACACACTGTACACTAATTGCAGAAATGATTACCTGTTGCTTGGTCATTTTGTGCAACAATCAAGCCCCACTTTGTCGGATATCCATTACTGGGTTTACAGAGGAATGTTTTTAATGGTAGCCTGACAGCTATTTGTCTCTCTGTATCCATGGGTTGATCGTCACTAGGCATCATAAGTTGACCAACCTCTGATTCATTGATCCGTAACGGAGCTTTAAGCAATCATATTGAATTACAGATTATTAAAACCGACTTCGAAATTCATTCGGACAAAATGTTGAGCAAAGCGGATAATCAAAAACCAATTTTATTGTATTAATCGAAACTATTCCTTATGATAAAACTTAAACAAATAAACAAAAGGTGATGAATTCTGGATTCACATTTCTTCAACCAAACAGCCATGCCACTGTCATTGGGTGTTATATATTTCAACTTGTGTACAATCATGAAGAGAAATATGAATATGTGATAACGTAAAAGACCTTTCAAATATTGTGAACAAAGATTTCCCCGAAAAACCTAAAGACAGTTAAGAATTGCAGACAATGTGGTTTTTTAGATCACTTGTTGAAATATATAAAGATATTTGATTAGGCATTTGTACCTACTTTATACATATATCTACAGCAAACCAAACTTATCTAAAAGAAATGAAATCGACTTACCACCCGGCTGAACAAATACAATTTCCGTAACTACAGAACCTTTTCCAGCACTTGTTTTAGCACAAACCTAAAGGGAAAAAGGCAATACTTAGAAGTTATATTATATCAAATTACTTTCAAATGCCATGATAAATTTGAGCATAACATTAAATGCAAAATGTATCAGAATCTTTGGTGCCATGTTTTTCATAAGTGATAAGCCGAAAATGCTATTTCTTTTGTTTCAAGTCAGTCTGCAATTTTATTAACATTATTGCGTACCGATGTGTTTGTACGTGTTACACACAAAGTGACAAAGATGATTCAAAACACCTGTTTCCCTTTCAAAGTTGTATTATATTTAAGTGAGTTCATTCTTAACTCGTTTAGGGTATATATCGGGACAATTCGTCGCTTTTTATTTGAATGAAATTGAATTAATGTGCCAAATTAATTGTTCCTTGTTCATCGCGATATTAACAAATGTGTTATTTTTTCTAAATACAATGTTCAATTTGCTTAATCCGGTAACACAGTAGCACGGTTGTAGACGGTATTTTGCACAAGCAGTGAACAAGAATAGTACCCAACAGGTTCACAAAAGTTAAGCATATAAATGATGACGTCATATATCAACGAACTAATAAACTGTTCTATTCAAGCAGGAAATGCCTTAGTTTCTCGATAGCAATGAAAATAAAACGTAGTATGTGTAAATTGCAAAATCTTGGTTAATTGTGTCTCCTCATGTGAATTAACAAACCACCGGTCTTAGTAGTTTTCAATTCTTCACACTAAAAACATTGGAGTCAATGACTCTAAAGAACCATTTATATACTACAACATGAGATGAAACTTTTCAAAGCTATCACACACAAATTAAAAGTCTGTTGTGAGAAAAGACATGTTACCTCTTCTGTTGTGTTCTGTTATGGCAACAGAAAGAGAAGAGTCGGTCTCATAGATTCTGGTCATGTAAAGTATAGACACTAAAGCTATAACATCACCGAAATGAAGTAAAGGACAATTTTTCTCACGCACCTAATATCTCATAAAGCAGTGTTTGTTTTTATGATTGGGTTTGAAGTCGCACCAACACTGTAAAGGTGATATGGCGACTTAGTAATGGAAGAGCCCAGTTGTCCTCCAAGCGAACATCTGAGTATAACCACCGATGCTCTGTAAGCTAGATTGATAAATAGATTCCATACATGAAAGAATCCAGGATGCGAACACAAAGCAGTGAGGGGCAAGTGGTAAGAAGCCATAAATCCTTATCCACTCTGCAACGCATGCCCAACTTAAAGCAGTACTTAATCACTTCTGATGCCAATCAAAATAACTTACAAGAATAGTTTAATAAAAATGCACATCTAACATTCTCTTCATTATAATAAAAAAAAGACATCTGTAAAACATACCTGCACAGAATAATTACCAGGGAACAATCTTGTACATTTATAGAACAATGTAGAATTGTCAGTGGTGTTGGAACATACTGATGCATTCTGAATAAAGATGAATATTTTTCTTGTTTCGTTAATTCTTAACTTCTTTCGTAGATAACATTCACTTTATATGGACAGCTCTTAACTAATTTACCATTTAGTAGTCTTATTTCATAATAAAATCTTCAGTACAGAACACATTTCTATAAATCAAATATCATAGATAGTTGCAATGACTTCAGAAAAATGTCATTATCAAAAAAGGAGTTATATAAACATATTATGCTAGATATTTTAAATACATACACTATTGTTTATGATTTCTATGTGATAGTTCAGAATGATGCCATTTCTTTTCCTGATGTCTGGTTCATTCCACGTTACATTAACAGATCTCTGTTTTGTGACATCTTCCTCTGTTTCTACCTTCAAATAAGAAACTTTTCCCGGCTCTGATAAAGACAAAAACTACTTTCTATTATTCTGTCTCTAAAATTTAAGCTAATAATACACGTTGTTATCCAATGCCACTATTAGTCTCCAATTCAATTTAACAAACTCTTCTTGAAATTATAAAATGAAAACACAAATAAACAAGAGGGCAATGTTGGCTCTGAGATACATTGCTAGAAAAAAATCACAATTCTTCAATTCATAGATATTAAAATAGATAAATTGGCATGCAATTTTTGTACCAACTTGCATGACTTGTAGAAAATGTTCTTCACAAAAGAACACTTAAATATTTTTAATTATAGTCAAGATATCATAATTGAAACCCCGAGTTTGACCAGTTCTATTCCGAGGTACATGAATTATATATTTTTGTAATGACTAGAAAGTGATGCTTTATGCCAAATACGAGAGGCCTTTCTAAGTATCAATCAGCCTAAAAATTTACCATTATCCTGCTCTTATCGGGTAAATGTTATACAGGTATGGGTAGGAAGGTTAGACTCCGCTACATGTTGAGGAACTTGGGATGTAATTGTATTCACTTGAACCTACTTAGATTGTGAACACTATGATTCAGTACAAGAATAACAATTTTCTAAAAGAGCAAAGAGCGAAAAGTAAAGCCCAAAGCTTTTAATGGTAAAAGTACGAAATCCTATGCCACAGTTTAAAAATTGATCTATTATTACATTTCGGCAGATCATACATCAAAAGGAAAAAGCTCCGTTCTGGCGTGCAGCACCGGAAACACCCGGCATCGATCGTAAAAGCATCCGAGAAGGAAGATGCCCGTTAAACTGTTGAAGAGATAAAGCATTTATGTAGCATTAATTTTTCATTTACTGATAGACGTTTAAAAGACATGGGAGTGTTTTACTCAGTAGATTCGCTACCTCCCAGGCGAATACTAGAAGAAAAGTGCGTTCTAACAAATGCAATAACAAAATAAAAACTCGATAGAAACAATAATGCCAAAAAACGTGAATTTAATCATGACTGACAACGAAACAAAGATAGAATTTAATGAGCCAGTGGAGTAAGGATCTAAACAAGGTGTTGGTCGGTGAAAATGATAAATGGTTCTTTCCTGCTCGTACAGCTTGTACCATAAAAACATTACGTATTATCTTTGATAACCAGGGAACTGTGCACTTACAAAATTGCTTGCATGATTTCAGTCGACCATATTTCCTAGCCATGAAAGATAATTCCCTGTTTTCCTGTCTAAAATTCCACCAAATTATTCCCCTTTCAAATGAACTTAAAGAAGGGACCTTTTAGAAAGACTTTGTATTTATTTATTCGATTTTTTGTTCAGAAACGGACAATTATTTCTTTTAAATTTGCTTTCTATCTATATATGGTTCCTATGGTAAACATATGAGTTTTGGTGGTAAACAAATGAATTTTCTGAACCGAAAGTAATCTAACACACTGCGTTGCTGTCATCACGTGTAAACAATACATCGATTAAATCGGTAAGAATATTGAGATATTTGTTTGACTATCAGTTATTAATATGGAAAACAACTATGTGTAGTTTATGTGTATTGTTTTAATGTGTTTGTCTGATATTCAAATTGTAAAAGCCATGTACACTTAGTGTCGCTTCATAGCAACCGAGTATAAAACGTGAGCGGTAACTGAACGAGATATGGCAAAGCGCATGCTCGCGCACTGACTTCCGCTCTATCGAAATACTGCATATACGTATAGCGAAAGTTCGTAAGTGCTGTGGTTACATTTAAATTGAAAATCTTCAAGTTAATACTTATCTTTGACGAAAAGTTAAAAAATGGATCACAGAGACAATACAAGTAATACCACATATACACAATTAACAAGGCATACATAACCGGAACATCAATGAGGCATCGCCTTTAAACGATCAGTAGCAAAATGTTTAAATCGGTCAGGTGAACAAACCTCCCTTTATAGCCACGATATGTTCCTATTAGGCAAGAAAGTTGCTATGGTTACATAGATGAATCAAGAAAACACGAAAAAGCTTTTTTAGATACATATAAAAAGAAACCTTATGACCATAACCAAAGTACTTAATGCTGTAAAAGAAGGACAAACAGCAAAAAGAAAAACTATATATAGACCCGACGAAACAAGTCAGATGGCGAAAATTAAGAAAATATTGTCGAAATAGGTTTTAAGAAATGCCCATCATAAAAGTCTCCCTCTTTGCCAGTCAGATGCCATCAAAAGAAGTAAGCGTAGTTTCAAAATGTAGAAGGTTGCTTGCAGTCTGCAATTCTTATGTTATTTTGTTTTGATTAATGCTTCCGAGGGATCACTTTGTTTCCAAAATTTTGTACTTCACAACAGCAGGTGTCAAGTGCCGTGTGGCAGCCGTAAAAAGTTGCCCCGTACTTCACTTCAGTGTTGTTAGATTTTCTGGTCCTTCGGGATCATTGATGCCAGCACTATAAATTGTTGAGAATTGAGTACCGCTCAAGCCGGTGCTAGGGGGCTTGAGGGATGTTGCATTAATTCATTATCCCTCATGTTCAGACTCAATCAAACCGAGTCTGCAATTCTTATGTTATTTTGTTGTGATTAATGCTTCCGAGGGATCACTTTGTTTCCAGAATTTTGTACTTCACAACAGCAGGTGTCAGGTGCCGTGTGGCAGCCGTTAAAAGTTGCCCCGTACTTCACTTCAGTGTTGTTATATTTTCTGGTCCTTCGGGATCATTGATGCCAGCACTATAAATTGTTGAGAATTGAGTACCGCTCAAGCCGGTGCTAGGGGGCGTGAGGGATGTTGCACTTATTCATTATCCCTCATGTACAGACTCAATCAAACCGAGTCTGCAATTCTTATGTTATTTTGTTGTGATTAATGCTTCCGAGGGATCACTTTGTTTTCAGAATTTTAGAATAGTTGAGTAGTATCCTCTTTTAATGAAATGTTGGATAATCATGGTAATAAACAACTGAGAAATAAATGTCTTAGGAAATTTATAAAAAAGAAGATCTTCATAAAATCGAGGTTGCTAATACCTTGTCAACTAAGGTGTGCTAAGTTGGTCTTGAATTTAGATATTATAATAAAATAAAAATTGTAAAATTTAGAAAAGAATTGTCATAATATATGAAAGCTGAAGCCCTGTAGCCCTGTAGAAGGTGTGTTTGTTTGACTGATTGGGTTTTTATCATACCGACACAGTAAAAGTCATATGGCGACGATTCAGCTTGACTGGTGGAGGAAGACTCCAGGCGCCCTTCGTGCATTATTTCAGACACGAACGGACACCTGAGTAGAACCACCGACGTTCCGTATGCTAGCTGGATAGCTTCCTAATGTGAAAGAATTCAAAGTCCCTGTCGGGATTTGAAGTCAAAGTTGGTTTGAAGTCAACGACTTTAACCACTCTGCCACGGACGACCCCTGTAGTAGCAGACAACTGGTATTGAAAGGATAACGTTCAACGAAGTATTCCACTTGACTGTATGTTCCAGCAGACGTCTTCAATTTAGAAATGCAAACTCTATTATATGTAATACGGGGTACATCTATTTATTTGAATAAATTAAATTTATCAATATTTAGGATGTCATCTTAATATCGAAAAGTACATTTTAAAATTTTGATAACTATACCTTGAGTAACTGGATAAAGATAAAATCGTATATATAAAAATATAAAAACAAATCTTCGGTTATGGGGACACAATTGGTATGCCAAAAACTTGCATAAAATTATTATCTAAAATAAATGAAAGAGCGTTACAAACTGCGTCACATGTCCAGCTAGTATAACTTTTGACATTACAATTACAGAAAATAAGCCTTTTAGACTTACAGGGTAAAGTATAACTTGTTTACTTGCGAAAGTTTAATTTTGATCATATATCGAATTATGTGCAGGGTAGAAATATATAGCACTAAGAGAAAAAGCTTGAAACATTGTTAAAATTAAATCTGTCATATATTTTTTTTACATTTTTATTGACCATACCATCTGATTCCCCAAGTTTTCAAACTTTATGAAAGTATTTTGACCGAAGATAATATGGCCAAAATCAGGGTCGCAAATTTGAACTTCTGTAGATCCAACAGTGATCTGAACAGTGGCACATATTTGTATAAAAAAATAAAAGAGAATTTCCAAATTTTTGGAATATACAAAAATTGTTAGTAACACTTTTTTATTTATTTAGCATTTATTGAGAAAAGTAACTTTAAGAAAAGTCCTTCATGTTCACGAATGTTGTCAATATAAGGACATAGTATTTAATTAGTAAAACTTTGAATATGTATTTCTAGTTAAACTTCGGGCATGAAGTGAGTAAGCAAAAGACAAAGCACAACCCATATATAAAGAACTACACGAGTGGTCACCTCCTCTTTTAATCACTTCACGCAGTCGGCACCGCATTTTACCAGAAGTAAACAATATGCACACAGAAGCCTTCACATTGCATTTTTCCAAGTGGAAACGGCGTCTTAAAAAACCTTTACAACCACTACATCGCCATACTAATATTTAACTTGCCCCTCTTATCTGAGTTCTCTTCATAGATTTTCAGAGGAGAAGGTTTTAAAGACAGGTTTGCTTTATAAATTAAAGTCTTTTACTAGTGGTTGATTTATTCATAGGACAGAGACTTTAATTATACACTTTTACCATTTTTTTGCTTGTTTTAAATATAGGTCATTTTCGTAAAGCTTGGTCAGATTGGTGTATAATTCCTTGCCTCAAACTGGATAATTCTCGATGAATCTACGAATTATAGCAGCGTAACTTTATGAAGTACTTACTCGTATTCTGAATGAAAGTTTTAATAACTGGACTGAAATTTTTTTGTATAGATTTAACTGTCGGTGGATTTTCGTAAATGAGCACTGTTGATAATATAAAATTTATAGCACTTATTAGCCATTGATTTGACAAAGGAGATATATTCTGTTGCGCATTTGTTGATTTCAAAAAATCTTTTGATTTTGTAGTTAAAAATTATCAGTTATGGTGTAAGGGGAAACATACTTATAGTTGTTGAACCTATGTTTTAGTGAAACGCTTGACAGATATCGAAGGATGGTGAACTTTTATCATTAAAACTAAGTTTTAATCATTGAGCAGGAGATGAAAATGCTTTACTTCGTATTGTTTTAACTAAATGTGATCGAAAAATTAGATGTCTTGACTTGTCGGCAAGTTCAGAACACTATTTCATAGAAGAATGTCAGAAGCTAGAAGATGAATTTTAGCTGTCATTGAATCTCGCGATTTTTTGCAATAATTTTAAGCTATAATAATTTGTTTCAAATTTAAGGTAATTGAAAGCGAAAGCAAAAATAATGATGAAAATTTGCAACTTATGTTGTTGATTATTTAATCGAAACACTTAGTCTAATAGATATTTTTCAGCACAGTTAATCATCTGTAAGTATATATTTATCTACATTGTCTCTTACAAAATGATTATTAAAATGTCTGTATAATGTTATTATGCTTCTTTACTGAAAAAAAAAGTTTTTGATTATAGTAACTGTTTAAGTATGAGTTATACAATTTGTAGTATGACAAATAGATAGCTATTCAATAGATTTTTATGTCATCTAATTTTTATATCATATGATTTGAATGTCCTATAAAAAGTGTTTTTGGGCATATATATATAATTTGTGTATCTAAAATATCAGTACATTTTATCTTGATATTCTTGTACGAGTATACAGATTAACATACATGAAGTAATATTATACTGTTTTTTTACCGATGTGATTGAAGGAAAGAAATTAAGAATATAATATAAAATAATATGATACGATACGGCATAATATAAAAAATACAACATAATATAATATAAAATATAGAGGATATTCAAGTTTTTTCTTTCAATACAGGATCTATTTTTATCAAGTGGTATAGAAAAAATATTTCACGAGTGGTAGTAGCTATGAGTGAAATATGATTATTTTCATACCACAAGATGAAAATAAATCCTGAGTTAATAGAAACAAAACTTGAATTTACTGTTTATTATATATTTTTCTCTTTTTTAATCTTAAGTATTCTTGTTAATTTTGAGTTTTGACTGAAGCAAGACAATAGTGAAAATACGGAAAATATGTTTCACTGTAGTGAGAATAAAATTTTTACAGTGAAAATACGGAAAATGAAAATTTTATTGTATCAGTTCTTCTTAATATTTCATTTATAAGTAGATCTATAAAATAAAATATAATATAATCAAAGTTGCTTGATAACTCTTTTTAGACTTGATCCATTTGTGATGCTATACATACTGTCGGTCTTTGTCCGAATATATTTTAACAAAGACTTCCCCCAACATTTTGTAAACGCTTGTATTTCAATACTGTAATTCCAAAAGGATAACAATTCTGTTACATTCTGACTCGTGGTTGTAAGTGTTGTAAGGTCGGATGTAATTTCACTTTGGGACTCTGAACACAATACACTGTCTTCTATATCGTCAGAATCCTAAGAAATAAAAATAAAAATATTAGGCAAAACAGATTTTTTTGGTAAACTAACAAATGAATGGGCCATTGCTATTACAAAACATCAAACAAAATATAATATTGTAATATATTTGTTTTTATCTTTCCTAGGCTTAAAAAAACATGTTACACTATTATAGTATTAAATGAAAGACTACATAGCATCATCTTATTACCAGCGACACAAATTTTGAACATTATCAAAATTTACGAAAAAACTTTCTATAATATAAACAGATCTTTAACTTTGCGCATTTTTGAGATGATACAAAACTCTGCTTAAAGAGTTAAATTATATATTATATGATATAACGTTAACATTACATATGTTTTGTTTTGCAAATGAATATAAGATTAATACACTGAAATACTTCACTTTTTGAAGAATGCAAGCAATGAGCATAGTTAGTTTACGTTTTATCATGCACTATTTGTTTTAGCATTTTTCGCGGTTTTAGAATGTGTTTTAGAGTCTACGACTTTATAAATATGTCGATATATCTATATATTCTTACCTTACAATATGTTGGCGACTCAAAATTACAAGAATCAGACGAGCAATTGAAATATGAATATTTCCTTTGTAAACAATTGCCATATGTGTCCTTGATCACAAGTTGATACTTTCTAATAAATCCATTTGTCATTCTTGGCTTATGCCATGACAAAAACAAAGTTTCTCTATCAGTTTCAATATTTTCTAAAGTAACCACACCTGGTGCTGCAATAAAATAATGTACATTATTCAATTAATAGCCAAGAGTAATCAGTGATCACATGTGTCGCCTAATGATAGCCAATTGAGCAGATGTATTTAAAAGTGATTGGACAGTTTGTTCCCTATATGTCATTAACATTAACAGGACAAAACACTTAATATTCAAGGGTCATAATTCAGCAAAAAAATCATAAAACCGTAAAACCCCTGAAATATGTTGTTAACCCCAGTTGTTGAGGTACTGATCAATCCTGTACAGTTTCAGTCAAGTTGCATTAGAACTATACGAGAAGGAGTCTGGACAAAGCTTATGAAGGAACAATAATTAATCGGCCATTATCAGCCAAGACTATTAAACCGGAAAACCCTTTGAATGTGAACAAGTTCTTGAGGTACCGATCAATCGTGAAAAGTTGCACTGACATTGCAGTAATACTATAAGAGGAGTCCGGACAAAACTTTTAAAATAAAAACAATTGAAAGGACTTTTTCTCTGACAAAAATCATTGGACTGGTAAATGATGATGATGTGCACAACTTAACTTAGCACTGATCTTTCTTGTAAAGTTTGAATAATATTGCACCAACAGTTTTAGAGGTGTAGTCCGGACACGTTTTGTAACAGACAGACACACGGACGGACATAATACTTAAAAGTGACTGCTGTACGTAGTTGCTTTTTTGAAGCATGTATCAGCTATTGTGTACCGGAGACACAAAATTATTAACGGGCAAAAACACCTTTTTATCGAGGGCAATAACTCAGTCAAAAATCATTCAACCGGAAAACCCCCTAAATATGTGCAAGTACTTGAGGTATCAATGACTTCTGTAAAGTTTTATTGAAATTGCATTAGTGGTATAAGAGAAATAGTCTAGGCAAACTTCGAAAATAGAAATCACTAATTGGCCGTTACTCTGACAAAAATCATAGAACAGAAAATGCCAAAGGTATGCAAAACTAGACTTGGAATTTAACATTCCTCTAAAGTTTGAATGAAATTGTAGTAGTTTTTGAGGAGGAGTCTGGTCAAGGTTAGAGTACTGATGCTACTCTGTAGCAGGCAATAGATCAAGCATGTAGTGTTATTTACTGTAAACAACATTTACAATGTTAAAACAAACATGTTAGCTGTATCGTAGCTAAACTGCAGTTGCGCTGGAAGAAATTGTTCAAGTGACTCCCAGCTTAAAATCTCTCTTGATTGTAAATTTTGTGTAACTTAATATTGTACTTACCCATTTCATTTGTAGTTTTCTCAAGCTCAAACACACTGCTTATTCCATCAATATCCCCGACAGAAGTAGTTACATTTGCTTTGCATGAAGTACCCGGTTTCAAACCTTCGATCACGGTACTTGATGATTGCATTAAATAGTACTTTATTTTCGCAACACTTTCTTCATAAGGCGATACACATGAAACCTGCACTTTGTATGTTTCAACATGACCTTCAGATGGCGGTTCCCACTGGATAGTCAATGATTCATTTGTTGTTTTTAAAACTGACATAGATGTGACGTTTAAAGGCCCTAGATAAATATAGAATAAGATTTACGGAAATGCAATAATATGAAAATATCTGAAAAATGCACAGATTTAAACCACTTTCAAACTAAAATGACGAAATCAATTATTATCAAAAGATATCTTTTGCGAGGGTTTTTGACTGAATATTGCCAGTCACAGAAAAGTGTAGATTTTGGCAGGAAATGTCACGCGACACACACTTGCTCAGAAACAAGTCCGTCGTCAAATTATCTATTTTGTCGGTATCTTAACCCATTACTGTATGAGCATTTTGTGAAAAAAACTCTTTTTCACTGAACTTAGTCATATAAAAAATTCGCTCTTAACCTTTATCTGTCATCCTGTATAATGCTATGTGTGTTGGGAAAACAACAATTTGGAACATAATAATTATATGGAATCTTCGGAAGCGAAAATGTGCCACTCTTGTGATACGTTTTATTAAGTTTTTGGGGGTTAAAAAGACATTTAACAATAAAGTAAAAAGTGATGTGTAGTTGTCCTCGTAATGAATATTGTTCAGTTATACACGTATTTATATGGGTTTGGTTGCAAATAGGGACAACGGCACTTAAATAATATCAAATTTAGGGTAGTGTTGAAGAATAATGAACAGTTCTAGTTCAAATGTGTAGGAATATATTTTCGAGGGCCGATAGACCCGAGTGTTTAATTACAAAACACTTGAACGATATTATTTAAGTAAGCATTTATACATTGAACGTAGAAGTGAGCACTCGTGTGAAGCGTGTTTCAATGTAGAATATACAAAATGACATGTCATATATATACATCTCCAATGTTTACAAGAAATAAAGTGATCTTAAATTGTGTGTTGCTAAATGGTGTCTTAATTTATTAATGACTTCATTTGTTTTATATCTAAATAATAATTTAATCATTAAATCTCGTTACTAAGTAGATAATAGAATAGCGTATTAATGAGTCACAACTATTATTGCATTGAAATAAACTTTATTACAGTAAGTGAGTCCTTATTTTAGATAAATTTAAATAAAATGCTGTCTTCTATACAACACTTTTTTGAAGATTTAGAAATAAGATTAAATGACTTACGTGTATACGTTGTAACATTTCCGTATCGATCAGAGATAATCTCTGTTAGTACCGCGTATACTCTAAAAGTGTATGAAGTGCCTGGAATTAGATCTACAATCTTTGCAGATTTGTCTTCCTTTGAAATTGTTATATTTTGTACAGAATTTTGATAGTATATTGTATAATTATCAAACAGTTTCTGATCATTTCCGGTAAGATTCAGCGTTACACTTCTAAAATCACTATACAGAAGAGAAGCCATGGGCTTTTCTGGAGCTGTAAAAATGTAAAATTTACAGTCGAAATGTAGAAAAGAAATGAACTATATACATTATTTAAACAAGCACAAGGTCAAGTAATTAATATTATATATCTGTTATTTTAAAAACAATTTGACGTATGTTTTTTATTTAAAATAATTCAAGATTCTTTCAACTTCCAATGTTGTAAATATATTTACAATATTAAGGTTTTGATATAAGCATTGATATTGAATGCGTATCATAAAAGACATTTTGTATTATTTACATGTTTTAAATCAACATACCTGTATAAGATGATGCAATCCTAAAATTTGAACTTGTAAGTCTTGGTGTTGTAGAATTCAAAGCCGTTCGAACAAAGACATTGTAAAATGTAGAGACAGTCAAATTTTCAGCAAGGGAAATCAAATTATCTCCATTGTATTTGATGATAGTATTCTTACATATAGTATAATTACATACAAGAGAGTAATTGCACGGGCAAATTCTTATCTCTATTTCATCATACTTCTGATCCAATGTTTTATAACTAATAGTAAAGTTTGTTTCATGTACTAATTGCCGAGGTATTAAAACAGACTGAATGTCGCCTGGCCCTGAAATAAGCATAAGGAGTTGATATAGTAGCATATATTATAAAATATTTGGCTATGGAAAGCCATTGCTGTCTTATATTGTTCTTTTTCAATTTATTTAACCATTTGAATAATATATAAGTTCAATTCGACTATATATGAATTGAAAACACCTTCTTATTTAACCGGAATACATTATATGAATCCACAGTTACAATATATGAGACCATACCGTCAGTGTATGAAACCGATGTAGCAATATACATGTATAAGTTGATTTTCTCTATATATGATGATTCCAGTTCTTCAATATATGGTACCTAAGTAGCCATGTATGGAACCAGATGTCCTGATATGAAACTGAATTATCAATATATTTATTCATTTTACAATATATGAAACCAATTTATCAATTTATAAAACCAAAGTGGAAATATATAAGTTGGTTATCAGATAATATGATACCAATTCTTCAATATATGGTACCAAAATAGCCATGTATGGAACCAGATGCGCTTATATGTAACCGAATTATCAATACATTAATTCATTTTACAATGTATGGAACCGAAGTAGCAATATGTAAGTTTGTTATCACATTATATGATACTATTTCTTCAATATATGGTACCAAAGTAGCCATATATTGAACCACTGTGTTCTGATATGAAACCGAATAATCAATATATTATTTCATTTTTACAATATATGAAACCATATTATTAATGTATGGAACCAAAATAGCAGTATTTAAGTTGATGTTACATTATATGATAGCAATTTTTATTATATGGAACCAAAATAGCCTATTTGCATGTCGACAAATCAAAGGCATACACTTTTTCATGAAATCAATTATTATTTGACTGGTTATTTTTTAATTTTTTGAGTAGATTAACCTTAATATGTTCTACTGGCCATGCTCACTTTTGATCAAAGGTAAAGGTCGAGATGAACTTATTTTTATTTATGGTCAGTACGACTCAGTAGCTTAATAAATTATGACTTTGAAACTTTACATACATTGAATCTATATAATGATAAGTTTAGCCTGCGCAGCCCATTTTAAGGCCAAAGTGAATGTGATGTTAAATTTAAATAATTCCTTATTTAGAAAATATGCAGTATGCCATCAGTGAAGCAAACTGGTCTTTTGACTGTTTTACAAGTAAAATTGGCGCGAAACAGTAAAAACGGTGAAAGGATAGAATACAGCCTTAACAAAAAGTCCCGTCAGTACAATGACATTTTGGTTCCACGCATTGCTCATTTGGTTCCATATACTGGAGAAGTGGATTCATATACTAGCAACCTATGATAATATATTGAGGAAATGGTGTCATATAATGTAAATATCAATATATTTATGGGAACTTCAGTCCAATACATTGATGAAATGCTTTCATATAATTATTGTAAAAACGATTTAATATATTGATAATTCGGTTTAATATAAGGACATCTGGTTCCATATTCTGCTACTTTGGTATCATATTTTGAAGAACTGGTATCATATAATGTGATAATCAACTTATATATTGCTACTTCGGTTACATACATTGATAAACTTGTTTCATATATTGTAAAAATGAATCAATATATTGATAAATCGGTTTCATATAAAGACATCTGGTTCCATATATTGCTAATTTGGTACCATATATTGAAGAACTGGTACGACATCCGGGCCGGATCAACTTTTAAATTAATATTTGAGATCAATACATCGATGATATGGTTTCATATATTGTAAACTTGAATGAATATATTGATAATTCGGATTCATATAAGGGCATCTAGTTCCATACATGACTTACTTGGATCCATATATTGAAGATCTGGTATCATATAATGTGATAATCAACTTATATATTGATTCTTTGGTTCAACACATTGATAAAATGGAATCATATATTGTAAAAATGAATTAATATATTGATACTTCGGTTTCATATAAGGAGTCAAGGACACCTGGTTCCATACATGGCTACTTTGGTACCATATATTGAAGAACTGGAAACATATATCGACAAAATCAACTTATATATTGCTACCTCGGTTTCATACACTGACGGTATGGTTTCATATATTGTAACTATGGATTAATATAATGGATTCCGGTTAAACAAGAAGGTGTTTTCAATTCATATATAGTCGAAGTGAACTCATATATTATCCAAATGGTTACATAAATTGTAAAAGAACAATATCAAACAGTCATGGCTTTCCATTTTTGGCCATAGAACCAATTTACCGTAGTAAACAAAATCTACCGCAACTATTAGTACATGTGTACTTAAATAATCAGTTTACTTATTTTTTTAACTAATTTAAGTAAATTAAGGTTTATTAAAGGGAATTATAGGATTTGCAGTTGACTACTTATATTTTACTATTAAACTAACTTAAGTGAAAGTGTGTTCACTACTCTTGTTATATTGTACATTTTTTTTTAATTATTTACTTATTACATGTTAGAAATAACTTCTTCCAACGGACGATAAGTTTTTAATCTGGTCAAATATTCAAAACTTAACAGAAAGAAATAACAAGTTAAACTCACGTGTATATACAGTTGAAGCGTTTTCACTGTTGCTTGTAAAACCCGGAACTTCTGTTGTTATTGATACATTGTACGGAGTCCCTGGTTTTAAATCCTCAATAAGCATATCAACACATTCAAATGATTGGTTCTTTTTGGTAATAAATGTTGAGTTATTTGATACATGCACAATCCAAAATTTAAACTTCGGACTGTGGTCATTGATACGTATAACGAAGGAGTTACTTTGTCTTTTGTCTAATGGAGCAAATATTTGTGCTGGTAGCAATGGTACTGCGAAAATAAATTAAAAAGGTTATTTTTGCTTGTAAATAACTAATGTAACTCATATATAAACCAATTGCCAATTAAGTTAACATGTGTTTTGGAACCGTTTAACATATACAATGAAGATCTATATGCCAAAATGTCTATAAAATATCCATCGGTACATTTTCATATTTAACTATTTCAAGTTTTCTTGCAAGAATGTTAAATGGTTAAAAGAATCATCTTTAAACATTTTAATCAAATGAATCTGTTTTTACGTTATATATGTAAACGTTAAAATAATAGCAACAACAACGTCACTTGTATTCCTTAAAGATATTTCCTATAAACAAAGTATACCTGATGAAGACTTTTGAGTCGAAACGTTATATATATATTTCAATGAAATAATTACATTTTTAAATTGAAACTGGTGTTGATTTCTATATTCAAACTTACATTATAGATATAATGACTAAGTATGTTTGGCATCAATGTTAATAATAAAAAATCAATATTATAAATTATGACAATTTCAAACAAAATAGAAGTATTCAAATGTATTCAAATGGTCGAGGTTATATGACAGTAAAAAGAAAGTGACGTTATCTTGATTCGATAGCAAATGAAAGTTATAAAGCATGACGCTGATTTTAGTCGTCTATAATTAGAAAGTTAAACCGATCGTTATTTTTTTATTTGATTTAGGATAATATCCAATCAATCAAAAACATCGTTACTTAAAATAAAGATCCGTAAAAAAAATGGATTCTGACAACGTTTCTTCTGTTAAAATATAAGTCCGACCCTAATGAATATATATTAACAATGCTAAAATCCTATAATCTTCTTGAAAAAGATGATCTGACAGCCTTAGAAAAAATAGCCAGATAAAGAATTTAAATTTGTTCATTTATTAAAACAGTTAAAAGTTAGACAGTTCCAGTGAATATCCTAATCTAAGGATCTGTCCAAAGGCAACGGTAAATATCACAGCAGCTAGGTTCATAGATTTTGATATTAACCTCATTATCATACAATAACTGTGTCCTATTTAAAAGTTCCATAATTCTCTTGAGACATACATTTTGAATGCAATCTGCTTGAAATTATCTCCGAAATAAAAATAGGTTGCATGCAACTTTTATATAACCTTAAAGATTTGAAATTAGATCATTTACTTAGTGATTTTAAACGGCTATACATGAGAATTGAAAGCTAAGAAGTATGTGTAAAATATAATAATATGTGGCGTTTATAGCGGTCTATAAGTTTTAAATTGACAATGTTCAGAAAGTCTCTATGAAGAAATTACTTGTTTTGAGATTAATCTTATTATTTATGTTAGGTTGTTTGGTTCTTGGTTGTACAGTACAATTTATTTCCACATACTAAGATAAACAGGGGTTATTTGCATTACATTGTGTAATTACGTTTATAAGCAATGTAAAAAATGATATGATAAAGTATTTACATTAAATATAATTTTACTTTTCTTTTAATCTTATAAAACAATATTTGGTACGGTGAGTATCCATCTCTTTTTTCCCTGTTATAACTAAAACAATTAAAACGGAAAAGAGCAAATTTTTATACAGTATATTTGAAAATAACTTACCAGTGTAAGATAATATTGGAAAAGACGTCTCACTGTTTAGCCCTTGTATAAAGCTATAAATATTCACTTCATATCTTGTTCCAGCCGTTAAACCAATAACCTCAAAATATTGTTCTTTAATTTTATTGTCTACTCCAAAAGTGCATTCGTTGTTGTGATTTTTGTAACAGTCGTCTCTCCCACACGAATAATTGCAACTTTCAGTCTGGTTATACGGCTTTACAAAGAGTCTAACTGATGTATACGACAGTTTGCCATTGTCCCAGTGCACTTTAAAACTATTCTCCGTGACGTTTGATATCCATCCGTTTTGTGGCGGTAATGGTCCTGAAAAAAGGATTTAATGCATCAATTTGTGTGGCCTAGAATTAAGCCTTGTTTTTTTGTCCAATTATTGAACACGAGTTTATTTGTTAAGCAACCGTCAACAGATTATTCCCAAGCGCTTTCTTGACGCATACCTACATGATTTGTCAAGCAAGTACCGACTACACATTATCCCGTTATTGAGCGTTAGAAAATACGGTCGACAATGTAAAAAGAAAGTGACACCTCCTCGCCACACACAATCGCTAATAAACATTTTTGTTTAACATCCGTATTTACCAGCAGTGCCTGGCTCTTTCCATACGTTGTACATACAACGAAGTCATAATTTAAGTGTGTAAAAAGATGACAATGAGTTGATGTTTAGAGGTATAGAGGGTAAATTGTAAGTCTATCAATGTCAAAATAATTGCATTGTCATTTGTTAAATTTGTCATGTGTGGTTTAAACATATTGATAACGCCGCCATTTCAAATAGTATTCTAGCTTAACTGATAAATGTATGTCATTTGTTTGAACAGAAATATCTATCGAGGAATTTCGAAGTTGATATCTCAAATACTCTTTGAGTTTCGCTTTGGATAAAAATGTGGGACGGACGGCGAGGGATAATTAACAAAATTATTATATCGTAAAACAACTTTTTGCAATGAGGGCCCCTGTATTTTCATTATTTGAACATTATAAGCTCGGAAAAAGCATGCGATGAAACCTATATCTTTATAACGAAATGCAGAATAACTGAATCAGACGTATACTTTTATGCAAGAATTAAGATAATCAACTGTTCTTCTGTTGACATCTACAGAAATCCTGCTTGCTCATGCTTATATTGCGTCCTGGTGACACTGTAGATGAAAGTAATAGTGCAGGAACAAAGATGCATTAACCCTCTCATATAGAACATTTTCATTGTAAACATTTGAATATGAATTTGCAAAGAACATTAATAACATTTAACCAATTTTACCAAATTTACGTTATTGGCGATTCGTTTTCATTTACAGAAAACTTTTAATAGGTTTTTATTATATTTCATAACATTCTTGGACGATTGAAATAAAAAAACATCATTTTATTTGAATAATACACATACAAATGCTTGCTTTTTCTCTTCTAACGCTATAAACCAATGATGAAATTCATATTTGTTATCAATATAGCTTAAAAAGTAGTATGATATAATACAAAGTTCCTTTGACTTTGAATATAGAAGTTTTTTGTAGATATGATATGTCGCGTTACTGCAAAATTTTCTTCGAAGTTGTTGTTCTGTATTTCTTTCAAACTACATGATGAATTAACTTGTTGCTTGCTGGGCAATAAATGGTTGTTCTCTGACAAGTCCGTCTATACAAGAGAAAATACTAATATTGTATAAAGTTCCAGCTGTTACATTGTCCTTCCTTTGTACATAAAATCAAATTGCCGTTCGTGCCTGCTGGTTGCAACATTTGTCTTTTACTTTGTTTTCTTTTTGTTATTTCTTCATTTTCTTGGCTACTAAAGTCCTCATCACTTTGACCTTCTACCACAATTCTGTACATGATAACACGATGTCCTTTTACCAGTGTAATTCACTGACAAAGTTAAAGACAAATTATGTATTTCCATTACTAACACGTTTACAACCATAGGAGGTCCTGTGATAAACAGAACAGTACATGATGATCATGATGATTTTAATAGAGAACACAATAAAATGTTACTTTGAAAAAAGAAGAAAAAAAAGATTCATATAGATTTTGAGCATTTAAATATTTCAAAAATGAAGTGTATACTATATAAAGGATGTTACAAAAATCAGTAAACGTTTTATGATATTGTACTGGATATCTTAAAATGTATCAAAAAGAGAAATACAACTATCATACCTTCTTGTTAAATAATTGTATCAAAATAAACAAGATAGAACCGTTTTTCTAATTAATTAATACATATCAATGTCAGACTTTTTCAAATTTATTTGATACAAAATCAACGCTTAAATCTGTGATTAATAATATGACCATCACTTATATGTCACATAAACTTCAATAACATTGCATATTGATATTGTGTAACATTGCCAATTTTCACTCAATGTGAGATACACTTTAACTGACTGAAAATGCGTTTTTATTCGGGAAACAAAGGGAATTGTTTAAAGTAAAAACTCTTTCAAGAATAAATTTTTATATGAATGATACTCACTAAAGTCTTGTATGACTGGAAAAATTATATTTATTACTTTTAAAACTTCCAGCAATTTCAGTTACAGAAAATTCATATTTATCGCCAGCATTTACTTTTAAATTTGTAAATAATACTGGTTTAAGTTCAGTTCTGTTGACTGTAAAGTTTAACTTATTATTATCTACCATCTGCATGAAATATTTATCACACTATCTAACAGGGCCATCTGTATAGTCATATGATCTTCGGATATTTCAGTTAAATTAATCTCAACCCTCGTCACACTTTCAGGCTCTGAAATACAGTTAAAGATAATTGTCTGTCCAACAAAATTTGATTGTTAAATATTTATCAATAAAGAAGTAAAATCATTTAAATCAATACCATGCTAACCCTGAAATCAATATCTGTAGACACGTTTTTCCTTTTTTTTTGTCGAAAGGTGTATAATAATAAAATCTAACTTTTTCCCGTTGACTTACATTGTAACATTACGTGACATTCATACATACATAATTTAGAGTTCGTCTCACAACTAGCATAACTTTAAGTTTTCTCAGTTATTATTTTTATTAACTTATTGATAAACATTTAATGATTCAATTAAGATTAGGAAATGTAATAATGTTAAAATAATAAATTTCACACTGCAATATTGTGACTTGATTTGATAGCTTATTGATCAAATATCACCATTTAAACACTTACCTACGGGAACGATAGATATTTACCGTCTTCGATAGGAAACAAAATAACACCGTTACAGCATATAATGTGAATGCAAACTGTAGTAAAACTAAATCGACGGACATGTTCATCATTATTGTAAAATCGATTCGCTAATTGTTAATGTACATAATCAATTCTTTAAAGTTTTAGTACCGTCTGAATTGTGTCGGTCAAAAATCGCACACATTTAACAAATACTATTCATAATCAAACAAATTTTACAGAAATTATGAAAACGAAGAATTGCTTTATAATATTTTCGGCTTTGGTGAGTCTGTTTTAACTAGTTCCTGCTACATACTGTGGACAATGCATGAGAGAAAAATAATTTTCATGCTGTGTACTTGGCAGGTATGAGGGTAAGTTTTGCTTGAATTTGAAATTACTAGAAATAAAATGATAATGGGAAGTATAAAATCAACAAACTACTTAAAAATGTTTTCTCTTTAATTTAACCAAACAGCTATGATATAAAAGAACAATACATGTATGAAAGCCAACAAGCCTTGGTTTGGTTCAAACGGTATTTATTCCATATAATGCCAACATATACAATTATGATACAACAACATTTTATGAAGGAAATCAAAGACTTAGGAAGCTATCTTCCCTGTAAATTGTGAAAGTAAATCATATAATTTTATAATGTAACAACACGTATTAGTACACTAGTTACTAACATGAAATAATTACATTATTACACATATAAAGAGTGAAATAAGTAATGACAATACATTAAACGAAGACAAAAATGAAAATAACAACTAATGTGCGATAGTATGGAATTGTATATAGTTTTCTATTTAGCTTTTTCTTAAATATGCCGATGCTTTCTGCATTTCTGACTTTCACAGGTAGTTTGTACTACTCACTGATTGTAGAATGAAGAAGGGATTTAGAAAGGAGTTGAGTGTTACAATGGATGTTTCCGCTATGGTGACACTTTCTTATATTATAAGGAGTGGCATCATCAACAGATTAGAGAAGATAGATATGGTGATACCAGGAAGTTTGTCATTTTATATAACATTATTAATTTGTTTTTCAGACTTCTATTTTAAAGCAGCATTCATGCTTATTCAGATTCATGCTTATTTTCATGAAAGTTTTGAAAATGTATTTAAAAGTACAATATTGTGAAGCGAACAAAGAAAGTAGTTTACACATTGCAAACGGCACTTACAATCCAAATTACCAAAAAATGGTCAAAATATAGTTAATATACATAAATACCTCTTACTGCGTTAGTGACGCAGTAGCATTATAGTGATTGATATTGCAAAATCAGTCATTAATCGCACTTAACATGTAAATAATCAATTAAAATTAATATGGAATCTTTTTACTTTTTTAAAATTTTTCTAAAGATTAAATTTCCTGAAATATTTTGGCTCATCTGGAGGCGTGCAGCTGTAATATTTTCAAGACGAGTTTCTTTGTACAGAATTATTAGAGAAACTACTTTGGTGGCTCCAGATATGATTCCAGCTTCTTCCAATTGTATCTATTTCAATTATTGTTCCCTTTTTTGTGTCAAATCGTCCCATAAGCCATATGCATACTATAATATTGGCCTAATAAAGGAGAAGAAAATAGTTTCTAGGGACTTTATGTTTGCTCGGTTTGATTGAGCCTGTTCATAAACGGTAATGAAAAGTGCACGTTACCGTCTACGCCCCCAAGCACCGGCTTAAGCAGAATTTAATATTTAATCATTGTAACCATAAAACTCTGAATTTAGAATCATCCAGATATGTGTTCATACGGCGATAATCATGGAACCTTCAATGTGAAACGTCAGTGTCATTCCAAGAAACGCAGCGTATGGTCCCCAATTAATAAAATGAGTGTTCCGTAAACGAGAACACAATGGCCAGAACTAAATGAAATGGAATTTAAGAAGGGGATCTGAGGTTATGAAGCCTGCATATGTCAGATATGCTATCAAACGTATATTAAACACCAGGCCACATATCCTACGGGTTATTATTCAAGTGTGAAATACAGGAACCATCTAACTTTAAAAAGGCCGAAAAGATAGAACTAGAAATACCACAAGGAAAGCAATAATGCCGAGCTGAACGCTCTCTAAGGATCGGAGTATAACATCCCTAATTGAATGCATGGGGTGACTTTTTACGGCCTCCACACGGCACAAGCAGCTTTGTGTGTAATATTAGAAATGTGTCCACACCAGGATTCGTTTTAGATAGCGTAACTCCAAGATGTTTATATGATTCTACTTCAGAGAATAATATTCATAAAAATAGGTGGAAAATTATGCGATCGCTGCTTTTGAGTTAGAAAAATTGATTCTGTTTTGCTCGGATTGAGCTTGACAAATCAGATATCTGCCAAATTACTTATCTTGTTAAGGTCTGAGTTCATGATTTAAACAGCAGTGATAGGGTTTTCAACGAAAGGATTGAGAGATATGTAACCAGAAAACAGTCTAATAATTGATTGTATGTCCAAGACAATGTCATTGATATAGACAATGAAAAGAAGAGGTCCTAAATAGCCTTCAGGATCACCAGCGTTGATATTAAGTAGGTCTGAGGAACCTCCGGAAAGTAAAACTCGTTGTTGTCGATTAGATAAATAGTCTTTGAACCATTCAAGTTTGCCAGATATACAATTAATGTATTAGACGTTTATACCCGATCAAAAGCTTTTAAAATATAAAAAAATATCGCTTTGCCTTCATCAAGATCTTGACAGAAAGTACGAGAAATTGAAGCGAGTTGATATACAGTAGCATCTAGCTCAAATAAATTATTCGACATACGGTCATGAAACTTTACAGGAATTTTGATCAGCATCTGTAGTTGTTCACCTGGGTATTTTTATGTGGATTTATTAAGTATTTGTAGTGTTGTTACCCTTGACTTAGTAAAAATTTGCAATTTTCAACTTGTGTCGCACGTAGCTCAAAAAGTATTTGCCCTGGAGCCATGAAGCTTTACAGGAATGTTGCTCAGCAAATGTAGTTGTGCACCTGAGGTTTTGCATGCGGATTTATTTTGTTTTGTCATAGTTATTGCCCTTGACTTAGTAACAATTTGCAATTTCCAACTTGTGTCGCACGTAACTATAAAGTATTTGATCTGGATCATGAAACTTTACAGGAATGTTGATCAGCATGTTTAGTTGTGCACTTGGGGCTTAGCTTGTGAATTTACTATGTTTGGTCAGATGTATTGCCCTTGACTTAGTAAAAATTTGCAATTTTCAACTTGTGTCGCACAGTTAAAAAAACTAGCTCAAAAAAGTTTTTGACCAAGAGTCATGAAACTTTACAGGAATGTTGCTAAGCATGTAAGTTGTCCTCATGGAATTTTTCTTGTGGATTCATTTTGTTTTGTTTAATAAGCTATTGCCGTTGACATAGTGAAAATTTGCAAATTTCAATTTGTGTCACACATAAGGGTCATTAAACTTTACACGAATGATGATCAGCATGTTATGTTGTGCATCTTTGGCTTTGCTTGTGAGTTAATTATGTTTTGTTAAAGTTATTACCGTTGACATAATACAGATTTGCAATATTCAATTTGTGTTGTGTGTAGCTCAAAAATATTTAACCTAGTCATGAAACTTAGCAGGAATGCTGGTCAGCGTGTTTAATTGTACACTTTGAGTT